CAAGTGGTGCCATCAATCACACAGCATGGACTTTTAAAAAAATATTCGAAAAATAATAAGAAAAATAAATATTTGAGAAAAATTACCTTCACTAGCAATTCCGCGACCACCAAATGACCATATGCACAAGCGTTATGTAACGGTACCAACCAACTGCAAAAAAGCATATGCAAAACTTAGAAAAAAAATGATGAACTGCAAAGCTTATTTTCATATGCATGATTTCTAGACAAAAGCGGCGCGCCACCGGGGTGTTCGGTGCTGTCATGTGTTTTGTGCAGTTCTGTCTACCGGGCATTTTCCGTTGAGAATTTCCACTACTTCATAGTTTGGTGGGTGCACAAATAGCTGATGCATTGTCTGCTTCCTAAACCGCGAAACTTCCCACCAAAGACTTTACGTAACGGTACGCAAAACATAAGCATACGTGAAAGCTGAATTCGAAATCCTTGAACAGCACATGGACGAGGGACATCCTCCCAAAAATTTCAGCTTCCTAGTTTTCTGGCTCCAAAGTTAGTGTCTTTGATGCCAAAACCCCCACAAGGCCGTATTTGAATACCAAGCGTTTATGAAGGTTGAATTTAAATTTACGGTGCTGAACGTGGAGGGGGAAGCTACAAACTACAGACGAATGTGGAAGTTAATTTCACGTTTCAGTTATTGTACAGCGTAGAAAATTATGCTAACAGCTCCTAAATCCCGTAATTCTGCAGTAAAATTATGGTGAAAAATAGATAATACACAGAAGGATTATGTGACACATAATAATTTGTTGCAATTGAAACGAATGATAAAAGTACAAAGAAATAGCAAAAAAAAAAAAATGAATTGTGCGCATACCCTGTATCCCGGGCTTCAATATCAGCACCATTTTCAAGCAGGTACTTCAGTACTTCCACACGATTATAGCCAGCAGCAAAATGAAGTGGGGTCGATTCGCGCCCATCAAAATCTTTACAATTTATAATTTTGCCATCAGTTAGCTCGATGATTCTCTGTAAACCATTCCACAACTAGGAGTGAGCAAAAATACACAAATCAAACATTTCTACGTCACTTTATCCTGTCCTGAGCTGCTTCCTCCAGGCTTTACTTACTGTTTCCAGCATAACGAGCAATATCATCTTGGGATGTTACTGATAACGAAGTTGTAGTGCTTCATGAACATCTCGAAATAGCTAAACCTTGCAAAATGCTAGTGCTAAGAGAAAATTAGGCTTGGTAAGTCGATTTTAGCAACCAGGTTGACTTTGGAAGCCCAAATGGCGAAGGTGCGATAGAATACAGCGCAAAAAAACAGTATGATAGAAGGTAAGAATGAGATAAGACGTTTCGGTCCATTAAATCATAAACATCTTCATCTGGTGCATATTTATGCGCATATGCATTCATATTACTCCCTGCTAAAACATAATATGAATATATATGTGCATAAATATGTACCAAGAGAAAACATATACGAGTTATCGAGCAAAAGAAAAACGTTATAACCAAAATTATCATTCTAAACATGACTAAAATTTAATAATATGCCTTTTCACATACCTTTACGGTGGTAAGATCACCACATTTGGCAGCATCCAGCAGTTCCAGCTCCTCCGGTGTTCGTTGCGGTGTATCATGCTGCGGC